TGCTCCGTGGACCACAGTTTGGGATCCCCTGCTCTTACCACTAAACCAAACTGGCTCTCTGGGTGCTAGAGCTCAGGTCTGGAACAGAGGAATCTCCATAGTGCAAACCAGTAATACAGCTTGGGAGTGTGACTCAACATACAAAATGCAGCCCCCTTTGGTGTTCTTTCAGGGGCTGGGCAAACCATGTCCCCCCCACCTCCTCGCCTGCTTGGACCCACAATCTAGATTTTTATGGTCTGCCTGGTGCTCGTTACATGACTGGTGGCTTGCAAGTTCTGCCCTTCGGTGTTTCTAAGCATGTGGCAAGTGCCATTATACTTAAAAACCTAAGGCTGACACCATGCTTTGTATCTTGTGTCACCAATGATGGGGCAAATGGGTAGTTTGGGTGAGGTGTAAAGGGTTGGGGTTTGACAAAGGGATGGAAGGTAGGAGGGGTTGGTGAGCCACACAAGCAGAAGTGGCAGCCCCTCATGTGTGTGTGTAGCTAGATAGCTAGATAGCTAGATAGATGTGTGTAGATAGCTAGATAGATAGATGGCTAGATCATGGTCACATGCCCTACACTACAGGGGACAGTCCTCTGTTTGAAGGTGCCTTCCATTTGAAGGGCTATCTTGTCCAATCTGGTTCAAAGATAAGGAACCACAAGGAAAGAGAACACCAGGGGCCTTGAAGTTGACCATCCACATATGGAAAGCAGACTGAGCAGCTACGCTCCATGAGTTGCATCCAATGCTAGTTCCACTCAAGAGTAGACCCATCAAACTTAATGAACATGATGAATACCCTTGGCCAATGAGTTTCAATAGGTCAGCTCTTGAGTAGAGCATAGTTGACTACAACCCTTGATATGCCCCACTATGATAAGATATGTTCTGGTTGTGTCCCTACTTAAGTCCTATGCAGGGTAGACCCATTGCCATTAACAGACCTACGTTAGCCATACTTATTCATGTCTACTCTCAGTGCGATGAGCACTGATGACAACCCATCACATTTCTATTTAAACTATAGTGATTATTTCCAGGGGTATTTTTTCTAGCTGGCTCTCTCAGGCGGGCACCTTTGCCATTCTAAGAGAAAAAGAGAGGCATTCATGGTGAGTTCTGACACCTCTTTCTCTAGAAAAATAGCACTGATATTTCCAAATTTGCATCCATGCTTTCTTACTGTTAGGGCACCTGCTCTTTCTTTTTATTTGGCCAGTGTATCCATATATCTGCTCTCATAGGGAGAACACACTGTTGGTCAGAAGTTGTTATTCTGAATTTTTTTCAAATTAAAGACCGGCAGCTCCTACTTTGGGGTGAGTTTTCCCGAGTTGTTGTTTGTTTCCTCCTGCCCTCCCCTTCATGTGGTATTGACAGCAGGTGTCGGAAAAAAAGACTGGCCCCATGCAAAGGTCTGAAGAAATGAACCCTGAATAGCTGAATGACTTCTAACGCGAGGACGGCCATTATTGGATCAGGCCAGCGGTTCATCTCGCCCAGCGAGCCCCAAACAACTGCTGCGCGTCACCTTTGTTCTGCTTCCGCTCTCCTTGCTTCTGAGCGGTAATGTCCCGCAGGGGCTCGCCGGAGGCTGGTTCGAGCCGAGCCTATTTAGATAACCTTCTGCTTGATCTATAGACGGCAGAATATATCCCGGCAGGAGAATCCCACAAGAGCTCAGCCAATCCCCCTCTAATCTCCTTATCAGTGTAGGCCTCAGCCGCGAGGCCTGGTTATCTCTGCGCATAAAAGGAGAGGGGGAGAGAGAGAGAGAGAGCGCGCAGCAGCACCCAGCCCCGGTGCAGAGACCCGTCTCCTCTAATCCTGCCCGGCCTGCTTCTCGCTTGATCCCGGCGTTGACCATAAAATAAAATAAAATAAAAACCCAATCCTTGGCAAGAGAATAACTCTCCAAATCCAAAGTGACCAAAGAGCAAAGGAAAAGGTCGGAAAAGGGGAACGGGCTGAGCAAAAGTTCGGACCGACCGTGGGAGAATTACGCAAGAAGGGATACGCGCAGGACGGCTGGTTTGCTCTCCTCCCCTTTACAGCAAGCTGGTGAGAAATGGGGGAAGATAAACACAGCCTTTCTGTCCATAAAGACGGCTAAAGTATTCCTGTTTTAACTACTGGTTCTTTAGCTGTGCAGGGGGTTGGACCAGATGACCCTGGGGGAGCCCTTTCCATCTCTACAATTCTATGATTTTATGACCTTGGAAGGCTGGAGACTCTCCTTCCTTGAAGGTTTTTAAACAGAGGTTCTGGTGGCTGCCAGGGATTATTTAAAATGTAATTCCTGCATTGCAGAGGGGTTGGGCTAGAGATGACCCTCATGATCCCCCTCCAACTCTGCAACTCTATGATTCTAACAAAATAGAGGAACGTGGCCAAACTCCGATTTACGTTAGGCTCCCTTTGCATTTGTTCAGAAGCTGCAGCAGTCAGTGGAGAATGCTGCTGCAGCACGGTTGTTTACAGAAGGGAGACCCCCTGGCAGCATATTACACCTGTGCTCAGACACCAGCGCTGGTTGTTGCTTTACTGCCAGGCCAGGCCTGAGATGTTACTATTAATATGTAGAGCCTTTAACAACCTGGAACCAGTTTACCTGTGAGAGCACCTTACCCCATCTGTGGAACTGGCACTGTTAGAGGTGGTGTTTGTTTGCTGGTTTGTTTGTAAGTTGCATTGAGTTGCAAGAAAAGGTGACTAAAATTCATTTATATAATAATAATAATAATAATAATAATAATAATAATAATAGGGCTGGGAGAGGCTCCTTGTCTGAAACAACAACAACAACCACTTGAAGGAGCATCTCCTTCCCCACCATTCATCCCAGACCCTGAGGTCCAGCTCCAAGGGCCTTCTGGCGGTTCCCTCACTGTGAGAAGCGAAGTTACAGGGAACCAGGCAGAGGGCCTTCTCAGTAGTGGCACCTGCCCTGTGGAACACCCTTCCAGCAGATGTCAAAGAAATAAACAACTATCTGACTTTTAGAAGACATCTGAAGGCAGCCCTGTATAGGGAAGTTTTTAGTGTTTGATGTTTTATCATGTTTTTAATATTCTGTTGGGAGCCACCCAGAGTGTCTGGGGAAACCCAGACAGATGGGCAGGGTATAAATAATAATAACATCATCATTATTATTATTATTATTATTATTATTATTATTATTATCCTCCAGGGAAGCCAGGACACTCACCTCTGGCTTGCCATTCGGTTTTGACTTCTGGTTGGTGCTTCAGTTCTCACTTGAGGTTTTGGCATGATTTTTAGCATGGTTTTTAGTTTCTGAGGAGAGCCTGGAGGGCTGTGTGTGACCCCTGGGTCTGAGGCTCTCCATCTTTGAACTATGGAATCATAGAACTGTAGAGTTGGAAGGGGCCATGAAGGTCAACTAGTCCAACCCCCTGCAATGCAGAAATCTCAACTAGATCATGCATGACAAATGGCCACCCAACTTCTGCTTAAAAATCTCCAAGGAAGGAGGGTCCACCACTGGCAGAGAGACGGGGATGCGATAGGTGTGCCCTGCCCCAGGTGTCATCCATGAGGGGGGGTGACATTGCCCCCCCCCCGCACCCGGGTGCACAGCACATGTGCCGCTCCAGGTGCCAGAGCAGTTAGCTGCGCCTCTGGGGTCCACCACCTCTCATGGAAGTTTCTTCCACTGTTGAACAGCTCTTACTGTCAGCAAGTGCTTCCTCATGTTTACTTGGAATCTGCTTTCTTGCAACTTGAATAGGTTTGGGTCCTATTCTCCAGGGCAGGAGTCTAATCCATTGTTGTTTGTTTGTTTGCTCTGGCACTCATCATGGTGTCCTGTTGCGCCAGAAGCGGTTTAGTCCTGCTGTCCACATGACCTGGAAAGCTGTCTGTGGATAAACGCCGGCTCCCTTGGCCTGAAAGCGAGATGAGTGCCGCAACCCCATATTCGCCTTTGACTGGACCTAACCGCCCACGGGTCCTTTACCTTTTTTCACCTCACATCTCACCCCATGCAAGGGATCAGGACCAGAGACAGCTCACTGTGGAGCAGGGAATAGAGATTTTAAAAAAATCAAGTTGGATGTGTGCTCCAGGCATGATTTGCAACCATTTGAGGCTAGAGGAGAAGAAGAAGAAGAAGAAGAAGAAGAGTTTAGATTTGATATCCCACTTTATCACTACCCTAAGGAGTCTCAAGGGACGCGGGTGGCGCTGTGGGTTAAACCACAGAGCCTAGCGCTTGCCGATCTGAAGGTTGCCGCTTCGAATCCCCGCGATGGGGTGAGCTCCCATCGCTCTGTCCCAGCTCTTGCCAACCTAGCAGTTTGAAAGCACGAAGTGCAAGTAGATAAATAGGTACTGCTCCGGCGGGAAGGTTAACGGCGTTTCCGTGCACTGCTCTGGTTCGCCAGAAGCAGCTTAGTCATGCTGGCCACATGACCTGGAAGCTGTACGCCGGCTCCCTCAGTGAATAAAGGGAGATGAGTGCCGCAACCCCAGAGTTGGTCACGACTGGACCTAATGGTCAGGGGTCCCTTTACCTTTAAGGAATCTCAAAGCAGCTAACATTCTCCTTTCCCTTCCTCCCCCACAACAAACACTCTGTGAGGTGAGTGAGGCTAAGAGACTTCAGAGAAGTGTGACTAGCCCAAGGTCACTCAGCAGCTGCATGTGGAGGAGCGGAGACGCAAACTCAGTTCACCAGATTAGGAGACTACCTCTCTTAACCACTACACTACACTGGCTCCCGGAGGTGGCAAAGTTCAGGCCCAGGGGCCAAATGCAGCCCCCCAAGTCTCTCTGTCAGACCCTCAGGACTCTCCCCACACCATACCTCCTTCCCAGCCCCAAATCACCCCCGCCACTTACCCTGCTGTTTGCCCTTGAACTCTGATCGTGCCTCTTGCTTGCTTGCTTGCCTGGATGGAGGAGAAAGAGAGGGAGGGAGGGAGGGAGGCATGCGAGTGTGTGTAGAAAACTACTGTACAAAAGGAAAATGTACAACTGCTCAACCCTGGGATAGCTCAGTCAGTAAAGCAAGAGACTCTTAATCTCAGGGTGATGGATTCGAACCCCACCCCTGGGCAGGAGATTCCTGCATTGCAGGGGGTTGGACTAGATGACACCCGTGGTCCATTCCAGCTCTGCAGTTCTATGTTTCAGTTATTCTAACCCGCTTCTGCCTCTGGCCCTGCCTAGCACTAGTATGTGACCCATACAAGATCATCCAGAAATTGGACAGCGTTGAGTATACCAGGAAGATGGGTCTGCCCCTTGGATCATATGCTTGGGAGGGGGGTTCATGCCTCTTCCACGTCCAGACACACGTCCAAACCCACCCACCGCTCTCTCCCCTCCTCTCTTTCCACCCCCACCTGCTCCTTTTCAACATCACACTTTGCTTTCATCCTTTCCCTTTTTTGTCAGCAGGACGGAAACCTCCCTCCCTCCTTCTCTGCATTATCTACTTATTCCACTGCTGTTTTAAGATGCAGTGCTGTTATTTTTTGCCTCATTCCCTCCCCCCCCCCCCCAGTCTTTCATCCAACCCCATCCTTTGCCTTGGCTCTCCTGGACTCTTTTATCTGCTGAACTCCCCCCCCCCCATATATTTTGGTTCTTCTTTCGATCTTCACGTCGCCACCTCCCACCAGTTCTCTTTCATTCTCTGCCACCCTTATGACAGTCACCACCTCCCTCCCTCCTTTTCCTCCTTTTCTTTCTTTTTATCTTCCAATCTTCCTTCCTTCCTTCCTTCCTTCCTTCCTTCCCTTTCTGCCTGCTATCCATGCATCCTTCCTCTTCTCCATCCTTTGTTCCCCCAATTATTATTATTATTATTATTATTATTAAACTTTCCCATTCTTCCCCCCAGCTCCTTCCTCTGGCTTTAATTTTTGATTAATATGTTCTTAGCCAAGAAACATGGAATTAAAAAAAGAGAGAAAAGAAAAGGGGGGGAGGAGGGAGGGAGAGAAGCAGGCAGGAGGAATCTTCTAAATAAATCATCCAGTCCTGTGAGGAGCTAATCTCTCAGTGACGGCCCATGTTTATCTAGTTTTTAGCAGTGCATGTTAAATAGTGATAGGGGACTCTCTCCCTCCCCCTCTCCCTCTTTCTCTGGAACTGCTGTGAAGGGATTTTTATTTTTTATATTTAAAAAAACTTCATTTCCCAGAAAGGACAGATAAGTCTCCCCTCCTCCTTGCAATACAGCTTTGCTCAGGCGAGTGCAATTAATGCACACACACACACACACACACACACACACACACACACAGCAAGACCTCCAAGTCCAGGCAGTGGAGGACTTCCTAGTGCTTGTGAGCTCTTTTCAGGAAGGTCAACATTATGCGCAAATCATGAACACATTAATCCCAGTCATTCTCTCTTTGGTACCTTCCCATCCCAAACCTGGAAATAAGCAGATTCAGCACCTTGAGAGCACAGGGCAGGACCGGAACTCAGTGTTAGAGCATCTTCGCATGCATAAGGTCCCAGGTTCGACCCCCAAAATCAACTGAAATCCCAGAGAACCTACTGAGCTGCATGGCTCCAATATCTTGATTGATATATAACAGCCTCCTATTTATTTATTTATTTATTTATTTATTTATTTACTTACTTACATACATACATACATACATACATACATAACAAATTTAAATTCAAGCACATCATTCACCTCTTCAATTAGGATTCTCTGAATCTCTTGACTTCCCTCTGCCCTTCCATGGTTACCATTATCGATCTCTCCTTCTTTTTCTTCTTCTTCTCCTTCTTCTTCTTCTTCTTCTTCTTCTTCTTCTTCTTCTTCTTCTTCTTCTTCTCCTCCTCCTCCTCCTCCTCCTCCTCCTCCTCCTCCTCCTCCTCTTATTTTCTCTAATTTTTAAAAAAGTAGTAATTCGTTTTTCCGTAGTTTTTTGTACATTACAATGGTGACTCAAATCCTGCCAATGTTTTTAGTTGTTTACAGTGTTCTCTTAAGTACATTGTAGATTTTTCCCATTCCTTCTTAAAATTCTTCTCTTCCTGGTTTCTGACTTTCCTGGTCATTTTTGCCATTTCGGCATAGTCCATCACCTTCATCAGCCATTCCTCTCTGGTTGGAACTTTGTCTTTTTTCCATCTCTGGGCCAGTAATAGCCTCGCTGCTGTCGTCACGTACATGAATAGTCGTTTCTGCTCCCTCGGAATCTCTGTACCTAAAATACCGAGCAAAAAAGCCTCTGGTTTTCCCCCAAATGTCATTTTGAACATTTCCCCCCAACTCATTATAAATCATTTCCCAGAATGCTTGCACACAGGGCTGAATTTAGGTTGGATGAGCCCCTAAGCTACTGAAGGAAATGGAGCCCTTTATATGTCCAGCTGTCCTTTGTCAACAACAAATTGTTGCTGTTTTTTGTGTTGAATGTATGGTATATGTTAATTTATGAACCTAATAGGTATCTAAAGCCATTTGCACATATTGCAATGCAACCGGTCCATGCAGAATGTAGGCACCCTATATATATAAATGGGCAAACCAGTGACATTTTAGGGAGCAGGCTAGCAGGCGGGGCCCATTACTTACACCATAGGAGCCTACACAACACAAAACACGGTTGCTGTATGTAGGTTTTATTTTATTGTTTTTTTTATCTTATATTTTGGAAATATACATCCAGGTTTTTTTCCTCCTTTAATTTTTTTGGGGGGGCCCAAGGGAATGGGGCCCTAAGCTATAGCTTGTTTAGCTTATACATAAGTCTAGCACTGCTTGCATGTCCACCACATATGGTGGAACCTATGTTCCTATTTAATCCAGCCCTTTATTTAGAAGCCCGAGGACTAGAATCTTACTTTCTCTTTGGGGAGAGGGGCCATGGCTTGGTGGTAGAACACCTGCTTTACATGCAGGAAGTCCCAGTTTTAATCCCCACCAACCTGCATTGACGTTGCCTTCTACCTGCTTGCCAGCACATACCAGCATTGTCTGATGCTTTTTTTAAGCCAGGGGAAGCTGGGGATCGAACCTAGGACCTTCTGCACACAAAGTGTGGGCTTTTACAGCTGAGTAACATCCCCTCCCCTGTGCTCCACGCTTGAACAATGGGTATCTTTCAGAAGGTACAGATGGAGACCCTGGCTGGATAAAAGCCATGAATATCCTGTTTTGAATTATATCAGATTACTAGCTTAGTCTGTGGCACGAACTGCAAAGCATAGCTTCCAAAACGCACGGAGATATATAATGCCAACATACCTTTGCTTTGCTGGGATCTCATCTGGAGTTCAGTATTGAGCTCTGGGATCAACCGTCCAGTAAGGATGGTGGTAAGAAGACATCTGAAGGCAGCCCTGCATTGGGAAGTTGTTAATGTTTGATGTTTTATTATGTTTATATCGTCTTCCAAAGCAACTACTCCATTCCGAACTTAAAAATGGAAAGCGTAATGCTGGTGGTCAACAAAAGAGGTTTGAAGACCCCTCACAACTCTCAGCATCCTTGCCAAGCTACAGTTCCCAGGCTGTTTTGGGAGAAGCCATGTTTAAAGTGTCACGCTACTGCTTTGGATGCATAGTGTGGATGGGGCATTAAAGATCAACTTCGTTGCCTGATTATTGTCTTTCAAAGCAACTACTCTATTCTGAACTTAAAAATGGAAAGCGTAATGCTAGTGGTCAACAAAAGAGGTTTAAAGACTCTCTCAAGGCAAATCTAAAAAAATGTATAAACACCAACAATTCGGAAACACTGGCCTGCGAGCGCTCCAGTTGGAGAACAGCCTTTACCAAAGGTGTCGTGGGCTTTGAAGACACTCGAACGCAAGGGAGAAACGTGCTAAGAGGAAGGCACGCTTGGCAAATCCGCACCGTGATCAACTCCCACGCGGAAACCAATGTCCCCACTGTGGAAGGACATGTGGGTCCAGAACTGGCCACCACAGTCACTTACGGACTCATTGTTTAAACCATGTTTATGGAAGACAATCTTACTCGGCTACAAGTGATCGCTGCAGAAGAAGAAGAAGAAGTGTTGGAAGCTGTACAGAGTGGCTGAGAAAACCCAGACAGATGGGTGGGGTACAAATAATATAATTATTTAAAATTATTATTAAGTAGTTGGCTGAGGTGAAACCCTGGCACCTGACTGGGTTGTCAGTGGTTAGGGAATGTCTCATCTACAAGAATCTTTTCTGCCCTTTTTAAAAAGCCTTACCATGTATGAAACCACAAGGCCTTGCTGTGTGAAGACTTCACCATGTGAAGTCTTTACTTCCTGCATTGTAGGGGGGGTTGGACTAGATGACCCTTGGGGTGGTGTCCCTCCCAAATCTGCAGTTCTAGGATTCTGTGTCAGAGGTGGGACCTGGCCCTTGGAAATGGCAGGAGGAGAGCAGGTTGAGCACTAGCCCCCTCTGGTGGCCCCTGTAAGAAACTACAGCCACCCCCCCCAAGAGGCACAGGTTCTGCACCACTGAGAGAGTTAAGGGGCTCACCACGACTCGGCTTAAGCTACCTCGCAGGGTTGTTGTGAGGACGAAATGGGAAGGGCGAAAACCACAAAGGCCACCTTGAGCTCCTTGGAGGAAAAGATGCGATGGAAATGTACAAAAATGAAACGTACAGAAAAGGCTATTTGCTTTTCCCTTCTCATCTGCTGGTGTAGCACAGTGGCTAGGGAGACTGAGCTATGAATCAGGAAGTCCCTTGATTTGAAGCTCAAATCTCCAAGAAACTCACAAGGTGGCCTTAAGGAAGCTGTTTGCACTTAGCCTCAGTCCTTCTGAGGGCAGTGGCAGTGATAATATTGGCCTTCCTTACAGGGTTGTTGTAGGTTGAACACTTGGAAGCTCCTGTACAAATGCAGAGAGTGATTCCCATTTCTTGCCTTGGTGACTCTATTAGGGTCCTTAGTGGCCTGACATCAGCATCCTGATCTGAGTGCTAGCAAGGCCCATTGGTAAACTCAAAGCTGGATGACTGCAATGCACCCTTGAAGCTGGACCAGAGGCTGCAGCTGGTGAAGAAAGTGGTGGCTTGGTTGCTTGTGAAGTTAAACTACAGTCAGCATATAACACCTTGCTTGCGGGCTGGTGTACTGGCTGCCAATTTGCTGCTAAGCCACCTGTTGGTACTAAAATGTAAGGACCTACTATGCAGTTCAGGACCTCAAGATACTGGAGAGACATCTCCCTTCTATACCAAGTAGCCCACTATAGCATACAGGAGAGCTTCTCCTGAAAGTCCCAAAGATCTCAAAAGCCTGTTCCTCAGAGCAGGGCCTTTAGTGTGGCTGCCCCTGTTCTGTGGAACAGCACCCCTGCTGCTGAGACACAATAGGCACCTCTTGGAACAATTGAAGGCATTTCTGGCAAGCACCCCCAACTGGATGAATGAATCGCTGCCATAGGTCTCTACTGGCTTTTCAATTTATCCAGTGGGGTTTTCTGTGAACAAATCCATGCTATGCACAACTTCTCCCAAAGAATCCAGGGAACTCCCAAAGAATCCAGGGTGCTGAGAAGTGTAGCTATGTGAAGAAGGGTCTACAGCTCCCAGCATGCTTTGAAGAAATCCATGCGCTTTCAATGTGCAAGGGATGTGCTATAAAGGATTGGTGTGGATCTGCCCTCTGTTATGTTCAAATGCACTTTTTTTTTTTTGCTTTTAAAAAATTGTATGTGTGGGAATGTTCAGGGTGGCAGGAGAGGATATATTGTTAATTAATACCCTTCATAACTTGCACTAGCAAGTTCCTTTACTTAGCAGAGTTTACATTCCCCTTTTACATGCACAGCAAATAGCTGGTTGCAGGCTCGTGTGAGCCTCTTGCTATTATACAATTCAGTCTGTCTCAGATTGAATTGTACGTTCCTGGTAAGTTCCCTTGAATCCCTCTTAGAAGAATAAAGATGTGACAATCTTATTCAAAGTCAATAAAAGTTTACTCACATCAGTTCACAGTTGGATCTCTGAAGGCAGACTTAGTTACAAATATGTACAAGTGGGTCTACCCCATATGGGGGAATAATTTTAGTGTTTCTGAGAGCTAGCAGAGCAGTCCTAGCTAGAAGCTGGTCAAATGAAGAAGGAGGTCAAAAAGAGAGGGGTGTGCTGCATGACTCGTCCTTTTGTTACCTGAACAGATTAGGTCATGCCCACCTTCTATCACATGCAAAAGAAAGGATGCTCCAGCCAGGAGGAACAGGAAGTTTCGACTGGCTGGATCAAACATTCCCTTGCATGTCCATTCTAGGAAAACAATGAATGTTATATTTGACTGCTCCCAGTGGATTATATCTCACAGTATGTAGCCTTGAGACATGTATGGAAGATGATCAAGAAATGAACAAATCCATAACATCCTTTCCAACAGCTGAAGAAGTGTTGATTTATTGCATTCACATCCCACCTTTTTCCTCTGAGGAGCTCCAGGCAGCATACATAGGTTCTCCCCCTCCTCATTTAATCCCCACAACAACCCTGTGAGGCAGGACAGGCTGAGGAGAGACAGGGACTGGCCCAAGGTCACCCAGTGAGCTTCATGGCTGAGTAGGAATTTGAGCCTTTGTCTCCCAAGTCCAACTTTCTAGCCGCTGCACCACAGCAGCTCTAGACTGGCCCTATAACCTGATTTGCAGAGGAAAGTCTTTTGAAGGGATGTCAGAGGAAAAGGATGCTGTCCTCTATTTGGGTGTGTGTGTGTCCAGTCCAAGTCTGGTTTGAAGATAAGGAACCAAAGAAGGGGAAAGAGGGGGGTGTTTCTGAGAGGGCCTCTGACTCTGCATATATTGCTGATCTGATCTGCTTCCCAGTAGCTGGAAGCCACAGCAGGGGAGAGCGCTCATGTGTTGGGGTCAGTGCAGGATTTACGTAAAAGCTAAACAAGCTATAGCTTAGGGCCCCACTCTCTTGGGGGCCCCCCCAAAAATTTCAGTTCAACAATTACTTTGATAAAATACATATTTTGTTATGTGCAAATGGCTTTAGATACCTATTAGGTCCATACATTCGCGGGTGGCGCTGTGGGTTAAACCACAGAGCCTAGGACTTGCCGATCTGAAGGTCGGTGGTTGGAATCCCCACGACGGGGTGAGCTCCCGTTGCTCGGTCCCTGCTCCTGCCATCCTAGCAGTTCGAGCACATCAAAGTGCAAGTAGATAAATAGGTACCGCTCCGGCGGGAAGGTAAACGGCATTTCCGTGTGCTGCTCTGGTTGGCCAGAAGCGGCTTAGTCATGCTGGCCATGTGACCCGGAAGCTGTATGCCGGCTTCCTCGGCCAATAAAGTGAGATGAACACCACAACCCCAGAGTCGGTCACGACTGGACCTAATGGTCAGGGGTCCCTTTACCTTTACCTAGGTCCATAAATTACCATATAGCAGATATTCAACGCAAAAAACAGCGACAATTTGTTGTCGACAAAGGACAGCTGAACATATAAAGGGCCCTATTACCTTCGGTAGCTTAGGGCCTCATCAAACCTAAATCAGGCCCTGGTGCTTGCTGGTTTCCCCACAGGCATCTGGTTGGCCCTTGATGCTGGGCAATGGGTCAGTGCATCTGGCTGGTAACCAGATGGTTGGTGGTTCGAGCCCACTCAGGGATGGCTATGGCAGGATTCCTGCATTGCAGGGGGTTGGACTTAGATGACCCTTGAGGTCCCTTCCAGCTCTACAATTCTTTGATTCTATGACTGGATAGGCCAGGGGTCAGTAACCTTTTTCAGCCTTGGGCTGGTCCACCATCCCTTGGACTATGTGGTGGGCCGGACTATTTTTTTTGGGGGGGGGGAATGAACGAATTCCTATGCCCCACAAATAACCCAGAGATGCATTTTAAATAAAAGGACACATTCTACTCATGGAAAAACTCGCTGATTCCCAGACTGTCCGTGGGCCGCATTCAGAAGGCGATTGGGCCGCATCCGGCCCACAGGCCTTAGGTTGCCTACCCCAGGATAGGCCATTGGTCTGATCCAGCAACTAGGCTCTTCTGATGTTCTTATGATCTGAGAACATAAAGAGGCAGCCTAAGGAAGACCAGACAACTATGGAAAGCAGGATTCGAATACAAGAGCACTCCCTCTCCTGTAGATTTTGGCAACTAAGATTCATAAGCATTGCTGTCTGCCACTGTGGAGGCAGAGCATAGCCGTTGTGGCTAATAGCCGTCTCCTCCATGCATTTGTCTAGTCCTCTTTTAAAGGCATCCAAGTTGGTGGCCATCACTGCCTCTTGTGGCAATGAGTTCCATAGTTTAACTATGCCCTGCATGAAGAAGTCCTTTCTTTTACCTGTCCTGGATCGTCCAACATTCATTTTCGTTGGACGCCCATGGGTTGTGGTGTCATGAGAGAGGGAGAAGTCTCTTTCCACACGAGTTGCCCCACTTCTGATCAAAAGATTGCCCGCCGAGGAGCAAAGGTCTGTTGCGAGAGGAGCGGCTAATTTCCATGAGGTGCTCTGAGCGAAAGACTTCCACGGATGCAATTAAGCTTGGCACATTAAAAACACAGTAATAAGGGGGCTATGGCGAGGGAAGGCTGAGCGGTAATTGAAATGATATCCAGCTCAAATATGGAACCGCTAAATGGTCTCTCCAAGAGATTTATATTGACACCGGCCTACCTACCTTGTTCATTTATTAAGTTCACCGGTGACTTATCGTTGCCCTCTCCATCTCTGCCTTTCGAGAGAGAGGCGGCCAAGGAGAAGGCAGGAATGGCTGGCAGGATGGGCACTGGAGGGCCAAATAAGTAGGACAAAGTCACAGATGGTTTATAACTGGGACAAGGGAGATAGGCAGCCTTGCAGTACGGACCAGAGATGAGACCGACATCATTGCTTGATAGCTTTTGACCTATAGATGAATGGCATCTTCCATGCCTCTCATAGGCTGCCTGTATCTTCCTTGCGGTCTTCAAGGTTAGTCAAGAGCACCCCCCAAGATGTGCCATTTGTGCACAAAGTGCAAATGGCAATGGCAAGAGATGTTTTTGGTAGGGTGCTCTCATGACTGCAATATTCTCTTTCCCTGGACCGGTAGGACACCTGGTCCTTAATGGTTTTAAGCAGGTAAGGAGGCAACACTGCCTGTTCTTTCCATGCATTATTTCACAGGGCAGAAAGGTTCCAGAGCTGATCCACTAGATTAATCAACTGAAGCTTCAGTTGATTAAGCCCCAGAGGGCATTTTTTTTTTGGACAGCAGGGGTAAATTGTAACAGCTGGGACTATATACTACCAAACAAGTGTCACTTGCAATTTGAGATGGTTAGATCTTTTAATCTGAGTTTCTTGTTTTTCAGCTCTTAAGTTCAATTGTCCACATTTCCATGAAAGCTTGCATTTAAAAAAAAAAAAATTTAAGCCTTCATTGAAACGCATCAGCCTCTTTGTGTGGATTCTTCCTAACAGACACATTTTTGTATGCAGTTTTGCCAATGTTTTATTCATTCATTTCCCACCCTACACCCTAAGGTCCCATGGTTGGGTTACAACATTAAAACACAATGTTAAAAGCATTTTAAAACAATTTGCAATAAAAATAAATAAATAAGGTGGGTCCTAAAAACATACAACTCAAGTGTTAAAAGCCAGGATAAAGAGGTGTGTCTTCAGCCTCCTATGAAAGTTCTATAATGAAGGTAGCAGATGCAGCTCTGTGGGGAGGGTGTGGCACAGCTTAGGGGCCACCACAGAGAAGGCGCTGTCCCGATCCCCGAAAAAGGTTCACAAACTGGAACACTTACTTCCAGGTTTCCAGTGTTTGGGTTCCAAGTTGTTTGAGAACCAAGGTGTGTGAGAACCAAGGTACCACTGTATATGCAATTTTGTACACATGACTTGGCTGGAGAGCCACGCTGCAAAATTCAGAGAAGTACAAATTTGCACTGGGGGTTTGCGTAATGTTTTTGGGTTAGGAAGGCCAGCCTTCCATCACAAACTGAACCTAACGTCTCCCTACTTATGACAGCCAGCAGTGTGCCACTAATATTCTCCTTATTGTGAGATTCAGTATCGGCTACCTTCTCCCCCATTCATGAGAATGGCTCTCTGTCCGCAACATTTCTCCCCACACACAGTGCACATGTGTGTGTGTGTGTGCGCGCGTGCACACACACACACACACACACATGCACACACACCTCATAGGTTTCTGGGGTTGGTTTGAGAGGACAGCTGTCAGTGAGCTGAGATGTAATTGCTGCCTGGAGAGCAGTTAGTAGATAATTAATATTTGCTGCACGGTGCTGTGATCGCTCTCTATCTTCTGCCTGACAGGGGACTTGGGGAAAGGTGGGGGGAGGGATTGGAAGGCCAGCCACACCATAAAAGCCCCCCCCCTTTTCAAGCCCCTGCTATCTGTTCATCCACCCCATCTGCCCCCTCTTAAAGCAGAGTACGCTCCGGAGAGGAGATTTACTTTATTTTATTTTTTTTAAAAAGAGCTGTTTGTGGGTAGGGAAGCTTGAGCAATGCGTGTACTTGTAAATCCCACACGCTGCCTATGGACTGACCTGATCCACGCTTCCCAGACTAATGTTTGGATCAGTTAAATTGTTCATCATCGATTCTTGCACTTCCTGAGCAATTCTCAGCTAAAAGAAAAGAAAAGAGAAGAAAAGAAAAGAAAAGGAAAGAAAAGAAAAGAAAAGAAAAGTGTTTAGGGTTTATGTATCTATGTTTCTCAAGAGAATGTATTTAAAATAAATAAAAATATATGCACATCCTGAGAGAAAATAGGTTGGATCCCACAAAACTCTACTTAGACACACTGAAATGAACATCTATTGCATGATTGGAGAGCCAGAGCGTGTGAGGGGCATTTCCTGAGAATTCTCAACTGTCCAGTTAAAACTCACCAGTTGTCTCTGAATTGCTCAAAGACTTTTTCCTGAATTGTGTGTGTGTAGTCCTTATCCCTAAATAAGAAAATCTAAATTTATCTATCCATACACACATATAAAAAGGTAAAGGTACCCCTGACCATTAGGTCCAGTCGTGGCTGACTCTGGGGTTGCGGCGCTCATGTCGCTTTATTGGCCAAGGGAGCTGGCGTGCAGCTTCCGGGTCATGTTGCCAGCATGACTAAGCCACTTCTGGCGAACCAGAGCAGCGCACGGAAATGCTATTTACCTTCCCACCGGAGCGGTACCTATTTATCTACTTGCACTTTGATGTGCTTTCGAACTGCTAGGTTGGCAGGAGCAGGGACCAAGCAATGGGAGCTCACCCCATTGCGGGGATTCGAACCGCCAACCTTCTGATCGGCAAGTCCTAGGCTCTGTGGTTTAACCCACAGCGCCACCCGCGTTCCATATGCACACATATGCTGTATAGTTATTGATTATTAACTATTGCCAATTTACTTGCTGATACATTTGAAATGTTTTCTTTTAGAAGAAATGATAAATGACTCAACAAAACATCCTCCTATGTTTATATGGGAAATGTGGCAGACTGGAAATGTAGTGATGCACTGGACTAAGTCCCCCAGAGGGCTAGCTGTGGGCAGTCTGCTGCAGAAAAGCAAAAGGCATTGCAGCACCTTCAAGACAAACACTTTTATTTTGGGCTCATCCTAGAGCTTGGTCTTTCCTTGCTTCCTTCCGTGGCATATAAGATTTCCTCTAGAATCCCCTTCCGAGTGCAAATCTAAAGTCTGCCTTGGGCAGCAGGAATTCTAATAAAGCCAAGAGCATTAGGGAGTTCTGCTCTAATCAGATATTGTATTGGCATTGCCCAACCTGCTTTCTCAACCAGCCATGATCCCCCACCAGCACAGGAAGTTGTGGCATCTAAATCTGTATTTTTAGAGACTTGCACTGAAGAAGGCCTTGGCCAAAGGGCCACCTCTCACAGAGGAAACTCTGAATTTGAAAACCCAATCACATTTGTGCCTCAGATAGCTGCCCACGATGGAGGCAGTGAGTAAGTTTTCATCGTATGTAAAATTATGAATGAGTTTGTTGACCCCTTCACGATCACAGAATCATAAAATTGTAGAGTTGGAAGGGACCCAAGGCTCATCTAGTCTAACCCCTCCGCAATGCAGGAATCTCAGCTAAAGCATTCATGATAGATGACCGTCATCCTCCGGTTCTTCCCAACTTTTCTCTTCAGAACTATGCTCCTCTGCAAACCACTGCTCCAAATCTATACTGCTCCACTGCTCCTGGGCAGCTTCAGGTTACTGGTCAGGAGCAGGGGTGGGGGGAGGCTCCCACCATTCTTCATCAGAGCTGTACTCCTCAGCCTGGTCTCTGATACTCCGTGAGCTTCATGGTCAAATGGGGTTTAGGGACTTGGGTCCCCCTAGACCTCATCTGACACTCTAACCACCTGTGTGCTCAGGCTTTTCCTGATCGCCAGCCTTGATCCAGCCACTATATGTTTTTATTGTTTTATTGTGATACTGGGTTTAGGTTGGTTTGTTTGCTTGTTCTGGGGGTTTTTTGGTATTGAATTTTATTTTTTTTAAAAATGTTTTTAAATTGTTGTCCTTGGGAATTGTTTCAGGGTTGCTTTGCAAATAGTTAAGTGGTATAGAACAGGGATGTCCAACTGGTCAATCACAATCTACTGGTTGATACCTGCGAGGTTTTGGTTGATCGCGGTCAATCGCTGGCCCCCTTCCGGCCCCACCCCCTCACCCCACCCCACCCTCCATTGCTGGAGAATGGAAGACAGAGTTTACAAACTGAAGCTGTTTTCAACCCCCTTGGATGAGTTGCTGCTTCTCTTTGACCCCCAAATAATGTAAAAACATTGCGCCACCCCTCCCAAAGCTAAGCAACTTATGCCTCTCGAACCCCCTAAAAACAGGGCTTTTCCTCTCCCCCAAAACAACTTTGACCTGAACCCCAATAAAGTGGGGGTAGGCCACTGCCAGTTTTTAATTCTGTGAGTAGATTGTAGTCTCTTGGAAGTTGGCCACCCTTGGTATAGAACAACAACAGCAGCAAATATAGGAACCCCTTTCCTTCTGCCAAACATGAAGCAGAAACCATCAATTGCTTCACACGTTTTGTAAAAAGACACATCATTTTGCCTGGGCTTCTCTGACCCATAAAACTGGACCTGGATTTATGTGTAAGAACCCCCTGCATTTTCTGTTTTGCTTACTTTGATAGAGATTTTTTAAAATTGATATTATTATTATTTATTAAATTTATTGCTACCAAGGTAACTCAAAGCAACTTAAATATATAAACCAACAGACACATACAACTGACATAAAAGAAAAAATTAGACAAAGAAAAATCCAAGGGATAATCCTATTAAAAAGCAAAATTCAAGCATAGAATCATTGATGACACCAAGGGTCATCTAACCCTTTTAGCCTGACTAAGGCCTTCAGCTCTGCAAATCGTAATGCCCTGTGGACTGTCCTTCTGAAAATCAGCTCCCCAGATAAATTTGTGAACATCCTTCGCCTCCTCCATGATAATATGACAGCAACAATCGCATATAACTATGGCTCTCAAAGTGAAACATTCACAGTGGGATTATCGCCCCAACTCTATTTATTGTTTTCATTGCCATGATCCTACACATTGTCAAAGGGAAACTCCCCACCAGGGTAGAAATCATCTATCGAACAGATGAAAAGCTCTTTTACTTGAGTAGGCTGAAAGCAAAGAGTAAGGTTACCATAACTTCCATCGTAGAACTTCAATATGCTGATGACAATGTAGTGTGTGCACACTCAGAGGACAACCTCCAAACCATCCTAAATATCTTCGCAGAAGCTTACAAAAAGCTTGGCTCAACATCTGAAA